CCAGATGTGTCCAGCAAAAAAGTTTCTCTAGCAGAACTGAGCTCGCAAGTTAGTCCTCCTTCAACAATTGGAGTATCAAATTCTATCTCACCATCACCATCCTATAAATCTGCACTTGCTCCTGAAAATACCTCCAATTTACCTACTGATTCCTCTCCAAATTCTTTAAACACAGCACCTGATTCATCTAAACCAGTGTCCAATCCTCAAAATCCCTCTCTTGAACTAATACCTTCTCCCTATAAGCAAACTGATTCCAAACTCTCAAACCATACACTTGCAATAGATCTGACCTCTTATCCACCTCTTCATCCTCCTATCACTTCTCAGTCAGCCTCTAATCAAGATTTTACTCACTGCCCACTTGTAATTAACTTGGCAACTGTTAAGCCTCCAAATACAAACACACATCCCATGTTAACAAGGTCCAAAACCAATTCTTCCGTAATCCTCAACCATTCAGGAAAAATTACACTTATTTTATCTGGTAACACCCCTGTCCTCCCTGAACCTTGTTCTGTGAAAGAGGCATTAGCTACTGCTAAATGGAAAGAAGCTATGCAAATGGAATTTGATGCACTAATGAAAAACAACACCTAGATTTTGGTACCAAGAACTAATGACATGCATGTAGTTGGGAATAAATGGGTGTTTAAGACCAAGTTTCATGTTGATGGTTCTTTGCAAAAATACAAAGCTAGATTGGTTGCTAAAGGGTTTCAACAAACACTCGGGTTGGACTACTTTGAAACATTTAGTCCTGTAGTTAAACCTTCCACCATTAGGATCATTCTTATCCTTGTTGTAACTAATGGTTGGCATATCCAACAAGTGCATGTGAACAATGCATTTCTTAATGGTACTTTGAATGAAGTTGTCTACATGCAGCAACCTGGTGGATTTGAAAATGTTGTTGTTCCCTCTTATGTTTGTAAATTAAATAAGGCTCTCTATGGCCTAAAACAAGCCCTAGAGCCTGGTTTGACAAGCTGAAGTTTGCACTTATTGCCAAAGGATTTCAGAATTCAATTTCTGATTCTAGTTTGTTCATTTGTAAACATTCTGGTCATGTTACATATATTCTTGTATATGTGGATGACATTTTGATTACTAGGTCCAACTCTTCATCCATACATCAGCTTGTTCAAGAATTGAATGATAAATTTGCTTTAAAGACACTTGGTTCCATCAAATACTGGGGTTAGAAGCTACAAGAACACCTGATGGTATTCACTTAAAACAGACTAAGTATATTGTTGATCTACTTGTCAAGACACAAATGCAAGATTCTCATGCATGTTCAACCCCAATGGTTGTTGGTATCAAACTTTATTCCACAGACAACCCTTTGTTCAAAGACCCTAGTCTTTATAGGAGCACTATAGGAGCCCTTCAATACCTTACCCTTACTAGACCCGATATAAGCTTTGTAGTAAACAAACTAAGTCAGTATCTTCAAGCTCCTACTGAGCTTCAATGGCAGGCTTGCAAAAGGGTTTTAAGGTATATAAAAGGCACTCAGTACTATGGATTACAGTTTAGGCCAACATCATCTCTTAGCATTGAATGTTATGTTGATGCGGATTGGGGTAGTAGTTTGGATGACCGAAGGTCTACAAGTGGGTATTGTGTGTTCTTTGGTCCTAATCGAATTCAATGGAGCTTAAGAAAACAGAAGGTGGTTGCTCTTTCATCAACCGAAGCTGAGTATAGGGCATTAGCTAACACAGCCATTGAAATTGCATGGCTGCAAAGCATGTTTTCAGAGTTAGGATTAAAACTGAAAACTCCCCCTGTTATTTGGTGTGATAATGTAAGTGCGGGTGCTCTTGCCACAAATCCTATTTTTCATGCACGAACCAAACACATTGAAATTGATGTTCACTACATCAGGGATCAAGTTCTTGCAAAGAATATTGCAGTTCAGTATGTACCATCTCAGCTACAGATAGCAGATGTGCTAACCAAGGCTCTGTCAGTAGCTCAATTTCAAGAACTGAGACAGAAATTGAATGTTCTTGCCATGCTTGTTGCTGATTTAGAAATGGCTGTAGAGAAGTAGTGCAGCAGATTAGTTGTTGTGGTGATTGCAGAATTTCAAGAACTGAGATAGTAATTGAATGTTCTTGCCATGCCTGTTGCTGATTTAGAAATGGCTGCAGAGAAGTAGTGCAGCAGATTAGTTGTTGTGGTGATTACAGAATTTCTTTTATGCAGCTTTGATGTAGTGATGCAGAAGTAGTGCAGCAGATTACTTGTTGTGGTGTTGTTAATGCAGTATTTTTATGCAGTTTTGATGTGGTGATGTAGAAGTAGTGCAACAGATTACTTGTTGTGGAGTTGTTAATGCAGAATTTTTATGCAGTTTTTGAATTGATGCAGAATTTTGAAAAATAATGCAGCAGATCAGAAATTTTGTGCAGTTTTGGTGGTGCGGAAAAATAATGCAACAGATCAGAAATTTTGTGCAGTTTTTGATAATGCAGCAGATCAGAAGTAATGGAGTAGTTTTTGGAGAATTTTGAATCAGTTGAGTTTGTGGGGAAATGTTAAAGAAAATGAAAAAGAAAAGTAGCTTACTATTAGAAAGAAGAATCAGTTGAGTTTGCGGGGAAATGTTAAAGATAATGGAAAAGAGAAGAAGCTTAGCTTGAGGGGAAGTGTTGACCAAAGATTCATGGTGCTAACTACAAGTTCACAAAATGAGAGGACCTGACGAAAGTTTTACAAACGATGTCGTTTTACTTTATGTGTAAAAGTCTTCTTCTCAAACGTGTTTTGTTAGCTGCTGCAACTTTACGCTTTTCTTAACCTTTTCACACTTTCTTCACTTGTTTCGTTCAAGTGTAAAAGCAGCAAGTATTGTATCAAGGTTAATAATACAAAGCATCATTCAGCTAGAATCAAGTTTATCTTTCTTTTCTTTCAAGTTTCACAGAATTCTTCATGTTATATAAGAAGTTGAATTCTTCATGTTATATAGACCAGCGGGTGGCAGGTATATACACATATTCCCTCATTAATTTTAAATAACGTCATCAAATTAAGTTATATAATTACTAATAACATAGTGGTATCGCATATCGTTTATACTACTTCATTTGATAATGCTACATCAATTAATATTCAATTCATTTGAATAAAATATATAACTTTGGAAAACAAAAGAAAAAACTCAATGATTATTAGTTCAACCAAGCTAGTTAGCTTTACATTTTAAAATAAGAGAAATACCACACATACAAATAAATCTTACATGGATTTCTATATAAAGTGATATGACAGAAAATGAATGAATGAGTGATGTGACAGAAAATGAATGAAAGAGTGAATTTTTTCATTCATTTTCTGTTACATCACTTTGTATAGAAATCTTTGTAAGATTTATTTGTACAACTAACATTATTGTTAAAATAAACTATTTTAATTTTTGTCTTTAATTCAACACCTTATAGGCTAATTTAAAGAAGATCATGATCAGAGATGGGAACCAAATAATTTGGCTGATTGGATATCTTGGAGTTGTGGAAGAGATCTTAAAGATCAAATGCTCTCACATTAAATGGACATAGCTGACTTTAAAGAGAACTCATTAATTATTATATCAAGAACTAAAACAGCTGCTCCAGAATTTATTTTTATTTACTCTTTTGCAAATTATATATAATTGATATAATGAAGTCCTTTTCAAAGAAATACCATGAAACCATGGAAAAGGGGAGGCATTCTCCATGCCTTAGATCTACTAACTTAATGTGAACACAAACTGTGTCTGGGATCTGCTAACTTAATTAATAATTAACAATAATTATACAGATTACATACAGACAGATACATGAGTGTGAAAAATATACAAGAAACCATTACCTAATGTGTTAGCTTTCTAAATTTGTCTTAAACAAATGTTAATGCCAATAATCATCTGGGTTTGGTACTCAGTTAATGATTTTAAATAAACCACGAAAAGAGCTTGAGATAAAGTGGGGTTACAAGAATCTAATACACCAACGACTTAAATTTGGCTTTTAAGCAACTATCTAGCCTTTTTATTTGCGATTAAAATATGTTAAAAGTTAAAGATAACTGATTCATTGAATACATAACATTAGCGGAGAGTATTAATTTCTACTAGTTTATCTCTCTTATGAATCTCATTAAATGATGATTTATCAGCGCGGTTAGATAATATTATACTAGGAAAAAATAAAACTTCAAACCTTTATTTATTTGGAAAGAATGGTAAAATTTTATCTTTTATTGTTTAATTACACTATTTAATAGGAGTTTAGATTTTGAAAACTTTAACATTTACTTGTGTCAAAATCTTAGGTTCACATATTGTTACGGGTTTGGAGTTTCACTCCATAAAGGCTAACTTATTAGGTGGATAGACTTCCCCCTTATAAATCCAAAACCCCCATTTCCCTTTCCTATGTAGGATATGTGACATTCTCCCAAACCCAATCCTATGATGCCCTCGTCACATATAGGGCCCTTTGCCTACCCGTCCACCTCATCTTTGAGTGGACCCACAATCATATGTTAATGCTCCTCTGCATGAGTGCTTGGCTGAACACTGAAAGACAGAACAAGATCGGCTCTAATATCATTGTCATGGACAGAGAATTTCACACCCAAAAGGCTAACCTATTAGGTGGAGGACTTCCCCCTATAAACCCAAGTCGCCCCCATTTCCTTTCCGATGTGGGATATGTATGCTACAAACACATATCTTATCTTTAATTCTTAATGATTTTCATCTTCTTTCTTTATTTTTTTTTTTTCTTTTCAGATTTAATTTTTTCATTACACAATGTTAAAGATAGAATGGCATGAAACACATCCTTGGATAGAATGGCATGAAACACATCCTCGATCGATAAATATAGCTGTGTCATTTGTACGTAATTGAGACTTAAGAGATGACGAAAAGACAAGCTTTTGCCTCTATAAATAGTCATGTGGCCAGGCCTTTCCGCAAGACAAATACAAAACTTATTGATAGCTCAATAACCAATCCCATAAGAATAATGGCTTCCCCCCAAAACTCTAAATCTGAAAGCCAGATTTTGGCAGAGATCATCATAGCCCGCATTACGCGAATCCATGCTAGCATATCCAAAATCGACTCTTTGAGGCCTTCAAGATTAGTCAATGATCTCTTCACCCATCTTGTGAAAATATGTACTCTCCCTTTATCCATAGACGTTAAGGCCTTACCCAAAGAAGTTCAAAGTATGGGAGAAAGTCTCATAGTTCTATGTGGCCGTGCTGAAATTTTGTTGGAGCTAGACTTCGCAACATTTTTAAATAAAATCCCACAACCCCTAAACAATCTTATTCTCTTCCCCTATTATGGAAATTACATTAAGCTAGCCAATTTAGTAAACAGAGTCCTCAAAGATCATGGCGTTGAACAACCCATGAAGGTTGCCTTCGTGGGTTTAGGTCCAATGCCTCTTACTTCTATTATTTTGGCTACACATCACATGAAGTCCACTCACTTCGACAATTTTGATATTGATGAGGCAGCCAATGATGTGGCTCGCAGAATAGTTGCTACCGATGCTGAGCTCGAGAAGAGGATGAAGTTTCTGACTTTTGACATAATGGAAGTGAAAGAGAAGCTAGGGGAATATGATTGTATACTTTTGGCCGCTCTTGCAAGGATGACTAAAGAGGAGAAAGTAAAGATTCTTGGGCATATTAATAGGTATATGAAGAATGGAGGAGTTTTGCTCGTGAGAAGTGCAAAAGGGGCTAGGGCATTTTTGTATCCTGTTGTGGAGGAGGATGATTTGTTGGATTTTGAGGTTCTCTCAATCTTCCATCCCATTAATGATGTGATCAACTCTGTTGTTCTCGTTCGCAAGGCTATCTGTTAGTCAGGAGATCAATGAAATATGAATGTGATGCTAGATAGTGTTTCCTTATTAATTATTGGAGACTCTTATTTATCTAAGATCACTTAAATAGATGATGTAAAATATTTTTAGTGGGTCGCTTTTGCTTTTCCAGATGCTAATTAAGTTACATGCTTTATGCCATATGTCAAGAATTAAGTTAGCAATAGTGTTCTTTCAGATAGTATCTCTTTCGATTTTTTGTCCTATCTCGATTCGGAGATCCACTCATGAAACGGTAAAATAGGCTTTTGTGCCTGACTAATTATATTAAGCAAAAAAAATTAATATAAATAAATAAAATGATTTAGGGACAAATTTCATTTTCTTTACCTTAATTACAGGATTTTTCTTCAAGTTATCTATTTGCACTACTTACAAAATTAGGACCTAAAATATAATATCCTTTCGAGCGAATGACATCCATCCTACCAATAGTTTGTCATAAAGACAATTTGGTATCCAAAAAGTTTGAAAATGACAAACAGTCACTTTCCATCAGGTTTTGTTCGGGGTTTCTGTCTGCTAAAATATAATAGTGTTGGAAAAGATTAGAATGCCCTTAGAAGTTTGATATTATAGTTTTTTTTATTAATTTATGGCAAGTCAACTTAGTCAATTACATAAATACCCACATCATTTACATTAAATTACTAGTATGCTATCAAGTTGTTATAGGTTAGTGAAATGACTAGTTTGTCCCTGTGAGTTTGTAAAAGGTACTATTATTTGGGCTTTTAAAAAATATATATATATATATCTTAGGCTTATGGATTTAAATTACTCATTTGAATTTAGGCCATTAAAATGTTGAATTATTATTTATATGAAATAATTAATTAATAATTAATTCAAATATAAAATAATAAAAAATAAAAAACCTAAAATCTAACACACCCAGCCACCCTTAGTAACAATCATTTCTTTCTCCACATTGCCTTTTCTCTACCTATTCCTCACCCCACACTGTTGGTCCTTTCTACCTCGCTCTTCCACAATTGTTGGTCCTCTCAACCCCAACACAACAATAGTTTGCCATAAAGACAATTTGATATCCAAAAGTTTAGAAATGACAAACAGCCATTTTCTATCAAGTTCTGTTCGGGGTTTCTATCTGCTAAAGGATAATAGTGTTGGAAAAGACTAGAATGCTAAAGGAAGTTTGATATTATAGTTTTTTTTTTTAATTAGTTTATGGCAAGTCAACTTAGTCAATTACGTAAATACCCACATCATTTACATTAAATTACTAATATGCTATCAAGTTGTTATAGGTTAGTGAAATGACTAGTTTGTCCCCGTGAGTTTGTAAACAGTACTATTATTTGGGCTTTAAAATATATATATATCTATCTTGGGCTTATGGATTTAAATCACTCATTTGAATTTAGGCCATTAAAATGTTGAATTATTATTTATATGAAATAATTAGTTAATAATTAATTCAAATATAAAAAAATAAAAAATAAAAAACCCAAAATCTAACACACCCAGTCACCCTTAGTAACAATCATTTCTTTCTCTACTTTGCCTATTTTCTACCGATTCCTCACCCCACACTGCTGGTCCTTTCTACCTCCGTCTTCCACAATCATTGGTCCTCACAACACCACCCCCCACCCCACCGCACCGCACCGCACCGCACCCCCCCAAAAAAACAACCAACAGTCACGCCCCTTTCTCCGTCCCTAATCCACAGGCAGGTTCTATCTTCCATAATCGTCAATAAAATCACCAAAATTTACAAGCATTTAATCACCAAAATCCATAACATCAGCAATACAGAAATCCACAACACCACCAAAATAATAAGAAATCTAAATGAACAAAATAAACAAACCGAAGGAGAAGAATTTTGACGAAAAATGTACAACATTAACAAATCGAAATATGGCCAAAGATTGAAGTCGCGGTGGTGGGCTAGGGAAGGGGAGAATGTTGAATCTGAGTATGATGCACCTGTTGTCATTAGTCATTGAGTTAATTAATTAAAAGTATCCACTTTGTTAATTAGTATAAATTAAATATAATAGTCTTTATTATATGCGTGGAATTAACCATAGAAGCTAATGCATATAATGGATCACATGCACTTAATTTTATCTTAAGGTTATACTTGGAAAATTATCATCTATGTCCAATTTAAGAAAAAAACAAAAAAAAAAAAAAGGAAGGAGGAAATTTTATCTAATGCAATGAAATGTGCATAAATAAAGGGATTATATGATAAGTTACTTTTAACTTGAAATAATAAGCTATTAGGTAAAGACTAACATAAACCTTTAAACTTCAAAGGGTTGATCTGATGGTCAAGAAGGTTTGCTCCTTTATTGATTTTTTGGATTCAAATAACCTTGTGGTTAACTACCACATTTGTTGTTTATTTGGAATATTAAGACTTATAGGGTGTTTAATGGGTCTCGAAGATTAGTTTGCATTGATGTTCTCTCTCATAGTCCTCCACCGTCTTCCTTTAACTTTGTTATGATAAGAACAATGTATAATGTTTAAAACAGTTGTCTTTGAATAAAAATTAAAAATCGTAGACAGTTTATATTGTTTAGCATTAATTTTTCTTTCTCCAAAAGTAATCATACATGAATTATTTTTAAACACACGATGAACTAACATTAAAAGGTTCAGGCATTCTCCATGCCTTGAAGACCTTGAGCCAAAACTTCATTTCTTTTCCAGGTTTCTTGTTAGTGTGAACATGAAAAGAATATGGGATCTATTAACTTAATTATATCAACAGAGACACGTGGGTGTGAAAAGAATACAAGAATGAAGTATCCAACCACCGCATGTGTTGGCTTAAACAAATATTAACATCAGTATCCATCTGGGTTTTTCCCTTCTAAGAATAACTGTAACAGATTAAAAATAAACCATTGACACAGACTATAGGTACAGTTTTATAAACTAATATAAATATTTTCTTCTTGGTCATATAAATTATAATATTAACTTTTTGATTACCTAAATAGGCAAATTTTCAAGAATCTTCTATTATTTTTTCTCTTTGTCAAGATCAAATGGCATGGAACTCCATGCCTCTATTGACCATAAAGATTTTCAAGAGATTTCACATCATTGTCATGCGTTAATCAGAGTTAAAACATTACGAAGTTTCAAGATTTTAGCCACTATAAATAGTTGTACATGGCCAGGGCTCTCCACAAGACAAACACATAACTTAAGTAACTCTCAAATCTCAAACACAGCATAATGGCTTCCCCCAAAATCCCCAACTCTGAAAGCCAAATTCCAGCTGAGCTCCTTATGGCTCGCATTATGCAAATGCATGCTAGCATATCGAAACTTGAGTCTCTGAAGCCATCAAAACAAGTCAATAGCCTCTTCACTCATCTTGTGAAACTATGTACTCTCCCATCATCCATAGACATTAAAGCCTTATCCGAAGAAGTTCAAAATATGCGCCAAAGTCTAATAGTTCTAAGTGGCTGAGCTGAAGGCTTATTGGAGCTTGAGTTCGCAACATTTTTGACCAAACTCCCCCAACCACTAAACAATCTCAATCTCTTTCCTTATTATGGAAATTATATGAAGCTGGCCAATCTAGAATACACAATACTCTCTGAGAATGGAGTGGTACAACCAAAGAAGGTAGCCTTTGTGGGTTCAGGTCCAATGCCTCTAACATCTCTTATAATGGCTTCACACCACATGAAATCCACACATTTTGATAACTTTGATATCGATGGGGCAGCCAATCTTGTGGCTTGTAAAATTGTGTCTTCTGATGCCGAGTTCGAAAAGAGGATGAAATTCCATACTTGTGACATAATGGAAGTGAAGGAAAAGCTAGGAGAATATGATTGCATATTCTTGGCAGCTCTTGTTGGGATGAGTAAAGCAGAGAAAATGAAGTTTCTTGGGCATATTAGGCAGTACATGAGAGATGGAGGAGTTTTGCTCGTAAGAAGTGCAAATGGATCAAGAGCATTTTTGTACCCAATTATTGAGGAGAATGAATTGATGGAGTTTGAAGTTCTCTCCATATTCCATCCAACAAATGATGTGGTCAACTCAGTTGTTCTCGTTCGCAAGCCAATTTTTTAAAGAGAAGAAGCATTTGCCGCTAATCTATGGTATTTATAATTAAACCTAGACATACAAGAGCCAGCTAGAATGGTTGCGTATATTTTAATTTTCTTTTTGCACTGGTTGACATAATTAGAGAGACCATCCATTTTCTCTGGTTAATTTGTTTTGCTTTCTAATTATAATATAAGGTATCTTCTTTAATTCTAAGTACTTTATAAAATATGAAGCCACTTAATTTTGTCCAAAATGTCTCGATTATTATTAACTAATATAGCAAAATAATGCTTGCTAAGCATTTAAATTTCAGCAACACTCCTCCATTGAAGCTTCTAATAGGATTGTATAAACATTAATATTTAAGAGCCCGATTTATGAAGTATAATTTCATTAAGGGAGCTCGCTTCGATGAAAATAAGCACGAATATAGCAGAAAAGTCATTTAAGATTAGGGCAGACTCAAAGCCTTGCTCCACCCCCATGGCTACTAGTCTTTGACTTGGAAAGGAAGATAGTAAGGTGTTTGATCAGCCCACATTGTACAGAAGTGTCATTGGTGGCCTTCAGTATCTAAACAAGCTCAGCCAGTTCTTGCAGCAGCCCACTGAAGCTCACTGGACAGCATGTAAAAGAATTCTCCGATATGTTAAGGGAACAATGCAGCATGGCATTCTCTTTACAAAGAAGCAGCCTTTTACTTAAGAAGCATTTTCAGATGCTGATTGGGCTGGAGATGAAACTGATAGGAGATCCACCAGTGGGTACACTGTTTTTCTTGGAGGCAACTTGGTCCAATGGTCATCTAGAAAACAAAAGGTAGTGTCCTTATCATCTACAGAAGCTGAATACAGATCTCTGAGTCAAACAGCCACTGAACTTGTATGGATTCAGAACCTATTCAAGGAACTTGGCATTCACATAAATAACACTCCTGTCATATGGTGTGACAACATGACTGCTGGGGCATTATCCTCCAATCCTGTTTTTCATGCCTGAACAAAGCACATCAAAATTGATGTGCATTTTGTTA